GCAGTTATCAGTCGTTCCTCGCCCTGGCCACTACTGGTTGTATTTATTCTCTCTTCCTTTCATTTGATTACGTAGTATTTGACTTTAACCCCACCTGTCTTTGATATAGTGTAGTTTTGTTTGTCTTTTGTTTCTATGATTTGAGTTGAACTCAGTACATTCTGTTACTCAATTAATTAGTTACTCATCATCTTACTCACTTCTCCTCTTTATTGCGTAACACCTTTACCATTGTACGCATACATTTACTTTGTTTAAACTTGAGCATAATTTTCTGAGCAGTGTTCACTAAGTTTGGAATTTCCAGTCAACTGACATCACATAAAAATTTACTAGTATGTTGAGACTTTTCTTTACATGAACTAAATAATAATAATAATAATAATTTATTTCGGCTGTACGCAGGCAGTTGATGAGAAGCCAACGAAATAAGCAATGCTGGTGTATCATATTATTATTATTCAGCACAAACCACCACTGTTGTTCTTGCTTTATTCGAAAACATCAAAAAACCAGACATGGTATCTGTTTAATTGTGACTACCACATGTATCTTGGATTGGTCGTCTTCCTTTATGCCATTTAAGTGGCTCACTCTATCCAGATTCAACTGTAATATAACAATCAGTAGGTTCTTCTTCCAAGGACTTGATTCCTTGAGGTTATCTACCTGACCTACATACTGAGAGTGACTATTCTATCATAAAGAAAATCAAAACAAGAGGTGATTCAGTCAGCGAAGAGACTCTTTTCAACAACGAATTTATCATCAAGCTGTACAATCGTACATGTGTATATGGTTTTTAAGAAGTTATATCCGGTGAGGGAGGGAATTGGATCATGTGTGTGAATGCATAAAATAGTAATAATAATAGTAGTATGAAATGCAATTAAAAACTGAAATGTTAGTCGTGAAAAATACCCATTGGAACATTAGATTGAAAAGAACAAGAAGTTCAGCAACACAGATATCTGTCTTTTCGGCGATTTCATCTTCAAAAGCTGCTGTACAATCGCATTTATATACATTAGTTTACATGAATACAATTATTATTTATTTAATTAATTCCACATAGTAACGTAGGAGATAATTATTTACCAACTTGATATGAAAGTTTGAAGGTACAAATATAGATTACAAGGGGATTAGAGACAAAATTGCATAGGATTAGAAAACGCAGTTACAACATATGCAAAATTATTATTTGATAACTGGAGAAATAATAATTTTAAAGGCAAATAAAAGGTGATAATTGTTTTCAACTTGATATGAATTACAAGAGGCTTAGAGACAAAAAGTACGCAGGAATAGAACGAATTACAGGTGTGAATAACATGAGCATGGAGACAAATTGAAATCAAAATTTTCAACCTTAAATGAAATGTAAGTTAGGAGGTGTGTATGAATATAGATTACAAGAGGCATAGAAACGAAAAGAAACTACACAGGATTAGAATATCATTGTAAAATGGTTATTCTGAAATGTTTGTGATTATAATAATAAAAATTGAACGTCAAGTGGCAAAACAATTAATGTCATATATATAGAATAATTCATAGGATGAATAGAACTTGAAAAAGGGTGTGCAATTACAGGATTAGCAGACAAATCGAATAAAATAAAAACGTTACGTAATAAATATTGTGTGGAATTTGATAACATAGAATTTAACGTTGTAAAAAAGAAGAATTGACTTAGAATGACAAGTAGAACAAGTGAAATAATACCGGGGACAGTTCAAAGTGAGAATAGTAATAGTAACTGACGATTGACTTAATAAGGAAGAGGCTAGAAATTGAATAGACAAAATGAAAAATTGTTAGAGCTAAAATATAATTGGAGATTACCATACTTTAGCATTGAGGAGGGATTAAGACCATGAAAGTTGGAGGGTAGCAGTTGAACGAACTCTTTCTGTACACAGAGATCTGGCTTTTCTGTTTCGATAGCCGAATATGGCTTCAGTAATACAACAGATGAGTCGTGTACGTAGGGATTTGTGTAAATTACTCTTTGCCTTGTAGGTGACTTTAAAGGCAGAGGCTAGAGAGATGGGGTGATCACGTTATCGACCAGATGTTCAATGATCGCGCTTCGTATTGCTCGCTCCACTTCCACCTCTTCGTAACTAGCATGCGGGATAGTGTTCTTGCACCCTCTTGGACAAAACTCGAGTCGGACGACCAATATACCTAGCTCCACACGAGCAGGTGAATTGATAAACACTCACACATAGAGTTGCTCAGCAGCAGGATCTTTTCCTTCAGGTTATTGAACAGTGATGGTCGACTAGTAAAGGCTATTCTCAGAGAAGCGGCAGGGAATGTTCTTTTCAGAGACTGTGTGATATCCTTCTTTTCATGGTATAGGAAGCTAAGAGAGTCCCCTTTGAATTCCAAGCTCATATAAAGTATTTTCTCGGGTACGGATGACAAATCAGGTTTTGGAGGATTTGATTTGCTGATTACCTTGAATGCTTCGATGCATGATGCATTTCTAAGAACGTTCGGGATGACAAAATTCCAGCACATTTCATCACTGCTATTAGGCTAGATGCATATAGCCTAGTGAAGAATCTGGCGTTTCCAGATAAACCTATTTCTCTGTCATATGACAAGATTCGTGAACTTCTGATACATCACTTTCATATAACTACTTTTGAGACCAGAGAGAGGGCTCAATTCAATAAACTGGTTCGTGCTCCCAACCAGAAGATTAGAGACTTTATTCTGCAACTCCAAATACAAGCTTCAAAGTGTAACTTTGGAGATCAGCTGCATACTCAACTACGTGATCGTCTAATTGCTGGAATCAATATTCCTAAGTTAGAGAAAGAGTTAATTCAGATTCCTTCTTGTAAGTTTCAAACTGCTAAAGATTTATGTATTACATATGAAGATGTCAACAGTGAATACTCCGCTCCCACTACGTCAGTATCTGATGTCATGTTGTCCAAAGTCGAAAATACAAGTGTTGATGGAAAGTAATCCAAACTGTCGTCCACAGGTAACAGAATGCAGCGAGAGATCAAAAACATTAAACCGTGTTTTTCCTGTGGAAAGTTACATCTACGAAGCACTCGCCGTTTTCAGGGTGCTAAGTGTCATAAATGTGGTAAAGAGGGAGGGTTTGGGCGTGGTGCTAGCAACTTCACCCCCGTAAAACAACCAAATCGCTACAGAAACTTCAACGAATAAATATATATTTAAAATTCTAAAAAAATAATCAATAGCCTTATTTTTCTCTGGAATCGAAGAAGCGAAATGACGCAGGCCCGTGAAAGCCTTATATATATATATATATATATATATATATATATATATATATATAACCGAGTGTTTCTATTGAATTTTCATCGTCAATTTATACGCTTTAAATGTAGAAAAGATGGGGTAAGATAGAATAAATTAACAGTGTTAGCTTGTTGGTTGACATAGCAACTCAAAAAACAAAAGCGGTTACCAATAATACCTCTTTGACAAAGCTATTAGGAATAAACAGCGAAACGTCAGTAAATGCAACAATATCGTTTTGTTTTTCATTCATTCATTGGGAAATACAAAAACCTTTATTATAATGAAAAGCGGTTACCGTTTATAAGATTGAGATTTGCTCAGTGGGTTGAGATCACTGAAATAGAAATTCCAATAATCTTTGCCAGCCAATATATAAAACAAGTTTGGGTCACATTTAAATTTGTTGAAGCCCTAGTCATAAAAGGCTCAAAACTGTCTGATACATATTGTGTCTCTGTATTACTCATCTGTGACCTTGACCTGTGGACAATTTGACCTATAGCATAATCCTTTGTGTGTATGTGAACAGAATGTCAGAAATTTCACATGAACTGTGAGAGCTGTTTACTTCTAGGTTGAGACTCATCAGAAGCATGCATCCCCACACCACGGCGTTCGAACACCGAACCTTCTGGTTACAAGATATGCTCTTAGATCATTCATTTAACCACTAGTACCCAGTTCAATGGCTCATGAATTCTAACACTTCTACTGATTCGTGACTTTAGCGCCACCACCAACTATTTGTCCTCAGCTAAAACTGACTAACTTACCAGTGTTAGTGCACAAGAATTTGAAGTAAGATCACGAAATGACTGAGATCAATTAGAGAACAAGTGAAAGAAACATCTGGGACAACTGGACCTCATCAAGGTGCATATCAATAACCTTTCAGGTTATAAGACAACGAATTATCAGATCTTATCCCAGTGGCTAAATGGTCAATCGCTTCACCACATAACCTACAAACCCTGATTCTGACTGCCGATTGGGGACACGGATCCCCGTATTGCCGAAAACTAATAGGAAGAAAACAAACACTCCGGTAACTCTTCGTGTTTTTTCTCAATGCTTCAAGCTATCTGATGACAGTTCTAGTCAATCAATCACTACACTGGTGGTGTAGTTGCGCGCCACTAGTCTTCTCAAACACACAGTTTGGATGCATTCAATATATATGCATATAACACAAGCAACAATTCACAACAATCTGTAGTTATTTGTAATCGTAGTATTAGTATTTCGAGATGACCAAATTACAAGAATCCAATCAAAACACAGAGAGGGCGGAATTCAGGAATTTGTATCTAGCGGAATTATCTTCAATTCATATGAAAAAATATTAACAGTCAACAATAAGTATTGAAACAATACAGAGATAGAAATAGTCAATCACCACACAATCGCATATTTTTGAACTGAACAACTTTATCAACTAACGGAGATTTTCTCTAGAAAAAAAATATATATATATATCTAATTTCTATCTCAATCATTAAAATAAAAAACAATAGAAAAATAATAATAATAACAACAATGATACTACTAAAATACAAAAAAAAAAAATTTGAGGGCACTGGAAACAAATGCAGGAAGAAGAATGAAAGACTGAAGGAAAAACAACTTTTAAAAAAACACAGCACAAATCACAAAGTGAAAGGGCAACACACACACACACATATTCACAACCACGTTTCCAATAGTTACTTATCACTGAAAAAATCCCGACAATTTTTAAACAATTTGTGTGTTGTCACCAAGTCGAGCGCGGATTTATATTTGAATTTCCGCGTGCTCAATTCTAAGTCTTTCAACTGGTGACAACAAATAGTATGACGACGTTTGACACAAGTGGATGCAGCAGATGATGAGGTTAACTCACACAAATCACTGCATAGTTTCGTTGTCAAATAGTGAAACCACATAACATTGGTTTTCGGTGAAAAGTTTTTCCAATTATTTCTATGGGGGAGGAGGAGAAGAAAGAAAATAAACAAAATCATAATAAGCGGGTGAAAAACAATAATAGTAATAATTAGGAATTCTAGTGCATTAAAACAAACGGATAGAATAACCAATTTAATTATTATTCAATGTGCATTGACAAGACTGAAGGAACTCTTACGATTACATTGTTTTAGCAGGATACTGAACATTGTCAGCAGCATGCATCCATACCACGGGGTTCGAACCCCGGAGCTTTCGGTTACAAGACATGCTCTTAGTCCACTCATTCAGACACTAGGACCCAATTCAATGGCTCATGAATTCTAACACTTTTACTGATTCGTAATCGGTAAACCATTTCGATCAGTCAATTTTGCAACGTGGCCACCATGGTAGGTGGCTGGCTTACGACTACAAAATGCAATGTGAATTGTTTTAATCCGATGGTAGGAGGCGATCGGCAAGGAACCTTGGATTGGTTTCATGCTTGTTGGCGCTTGTCAGCAAGACGTATCTCTAATTCTCAAGGAGCTTCTACCTCTTTGAGACTCGAACCCAGGTCACTCTCAGTGTTGCATTCAGAGACGTTGCCACAGACCTATAGAGGTTTGTGATTGACTTCCTTTAAGACTGTAGTGAATACTTCGACTGGACAATTGGTAATGACTGAAATCCGGAAACACGCTGATTAGAAATTCTACAAGATTTCATTAATTCACCTAACACTGCTCATCGAGGAAAGCAGATGCAATATCAGGCTGCATCGATCAACATGGTTAGGATATGCGTTACGCAAGCCAAACAATCATCTTTCTCATCGAGCAACGTTAACTGACATAGGATAAAATCAGAGAAGAGCTAGAGGTAGTCAAATCAAAACTTGGAATCGATGCATGAAGTCTGTGATTGCTGATTTAAACCCCGAAGGCATGTTTAGACTACCTTGTTGGTGTCTCCTAGATGCTATTTCAGAATTCAGTGTCACTTGCACCAAACTACAATTAATCCATCTGACTAACGGAAACACATGAAACGTAAACAAAGGATTAGAAGTGAGAAAACTGCTTGCGGCTGGTCACACAACCTGTTTGAAGTGGATTTTCAAGAACTTACAACCTGGTATAGGCTGTTTGGCAAGGTGGCTGAGGACATACAATTTTAAGGGTCAACCATCAACCCGCTTCACCAGAATGTGTGCCAACACAATTGATAGCTCGTTGGTCATATGAAAGAAATGCCCTACTGCTTCTAAAACACGTATTATTTACCGTAGCACCTTCAACATAATGTTGAGTGACTCACATATCACTAAAAATCCACAAGACGTCGTTTCGTCCCTAGTTTAGGACTCCTCGTCAGCACGCACCCACACTGCGACCTTCGAACCCAGAAAGGATCTACCGGTTACAAGGTGAGTTCGTAGACCATTCAACCACTGGGACCTACCCAATCCAATCGCCCATGAATCCTAACACGCCTGCCAATTCGTGATACATATACAGCGCAACAGCCAGCCAATGACATAGGTGAAGGTGAGGAAGTGATTCCTTATCCGACTTGGTGGACCACCGTGGGTTACGACTTCTCACTGAAAATCCAGGTAACTTCTTCCTGTATACAACCAGTTCCTAATGCCCATCAGATTAATTAATCAAGTGTCAGTGCATGCAGGGGATTCGAGTGGTTACAAGTATAATCACAAGCTAGCCAACATCAGCTAAAGAACCCTTTCAGGCAAAAGTCAGCAAGCATGGGCTATTGCATCGAGTCCAAGTGACTGAAATGTTCTTCAGTCGGATCGCAGTGGTAATATGTATTGCTTAAGAGTCTAAAACTAGGATGAAACAGCTGGCTGGTCTTCCAATGATTCTATAACTGATATCAACTCGTGATCAAATCTGAAATCTGCAACAAAGGAGAACAACTTTGGCCTATACCTGAACATAAAAAAGTGTATCATTTTATGTATACTTACCGATTATGTGATTTCATATGACGATATATGTCAAATTGATAATCACCTTGGGACTGAAACAAAGTCGGATCACTACTTAAGTCAACATAGACTAAACCATCATCTACAATGCAAGAGGAAACACATATCATACAACAAAAGTGACTGAAGGTGTATATATATGTATAATAGATTGAATAAATTTTGATAAATAAATGTAGGAGCGTCTGATTGCCTCGATTTCAACATAGAACTTTGCATAGAAGTAGGCCAGTTCAAATTGCCACAACACTCTATATACCACATAAACGATGACAGAACGGACAAAAACTAATATTCAAAAAAAACAAACTAGAATAGGCAGAAATGCATGTGGAAGAAAGAATAGTAACATGGAAAAAACATGATCGTTTAAAAGTACATGACAAATCACGAGGAGTGGTAAATGCGTCCGTGTCAGCACCTTCCTACATGGCTTAAACTAACTGTTGTGGATTTTTTCATTGACTGGTGAAGAAGCCATGTTTCGGTTTGACTATCACTGCCTCACTCTTTTCCAACCTGATCTATCCCATGTGAGTCAGCTAACATTGCCTAGCCAGGAAACCTACACATCTCCCTACTTGGCTGGCTCTTACTCTCAAGCTTCTCATATAGACTGATTTCAAGTATTGGTCCGACCACCAATAACTCTTTTCCAAGAATGATCTTATGTTAACCGACACTTCCCGTCAGGGAAGGTGATAGCTAGGCAGGCAGGCATATGTAACACATGTCCTAACCATCTCTCAACCAATGTAACTTCACACACTCAGAGGGCCATACAAAAATTGGTGGAAACATCTTATAGTCTTGAGAGTCCTCGTCGTTCAGACATGCAAAACAAAATAAACCAAACTAATATGAACTCTGATCAAGATTTGAACGAAGAGTTCCACAAACATTTATATATAAATATATATATATATATATATTTGGTGATACACTGTTAAAGGCAGTGTGGATTCATTTGTTTAAACGCATAAAAAACTTGGTACAATATGGCACCAAGAAGGATGCGCCACACAATAATAATAAAACAACATAGATCAAAAGAAAAAAAGAAGGAAAAGAAAAAAATACAAGTAGAGAAAGGATAAAGAACTTCATCTGGAAGGAAGACAGTCATGCTTAACAAGTTCAAACAGTGTTCGTCAACTATCATCGGGAAGGGAAGAAAGAAGGAAATTGCAACACGTTCGCTATTGATCACAATTGTTGACCATATCTGATAACGTTTCGAGCCATCGATTTGAGCTATCTCTCGGACCCCAACCAGGGAATCGTGACGACGCACCACCCGATGCTAATCTAGCACAAAAATCCTTCATCACACAACGCCACGTCATGGACTGACCATCCTTCCGCCTTTTCCATCCCGTCCCAGGGTTGGCTAGCGAACAGAGACCTGAACGGGAGCCTCTGGGGTGACATTCGCAGCAGCACATGTCCAAGCCACCGGAGCCGGTGTCTCCAGATGACGACAATCAATGAATGGTGATCTCCACTGTGTTCAAACACACGCCGCCGAACCTAAGAATTACTCACGCGATGATGCCATCGAACGCAAGCAATCCTGTGGAGACAGCGGTAATCGAACACACAGAGTCGCCGCACATCCTCAGCTCGAAGAGGCCAGGTTTCACAGGCGTAGAGCAGGGTAGCCCGCATCGAAGCATTGTATACCCTACCTTTAACAGCCAGGCTAACCTCGCGACGGCGCCAGAGGATAATTTTTTATCAGTCTTTAATGAAAATCTTCAAGAATATATATGGACCATAATCACATGACATGAACTAGTAGTAGTAAGAGGATTTATATTCTGAGAAATGCTTATGTGATACACAAATATAAAATACAAAATAACTGAGCTAGCAAAGCATATCCTTTCCGATAATTTCCTCTTCTGGCTTTACAATTATACACACATATATGTATATATACACAGAATATTCTAGATCAGTAGTCAATAACAATATCAGTGTCTGTATAAATAATATCGATTTATTAAGTAACATCTCAATGGAATTACAGTTCATTAAAGATGCTTAAATGATAATAATATTAATAATAATGATGATTTATTTAGAGCGAACAATTGTGGTTTCAATAAATTCTTCTTCAGGCTCTACAATTATAAATCCATTAATGTAAGCATACAATAGCCAGTAAAGGCGAATTAGAATCATATCAGAATGTGTATTGTGTGCTGGATGTAGCATCATTATTCACCAACATCCCACTGCTTGAAACAGTCAACTACATATGTGACCAGCTGATAGAAAGGAAAATTAATGTAGGAATCCCACCCGAAAAAGTCAAAGAATTATTATTGAAATGCACTATGAATGTTCAGTTTATGTTCAATAATGGTTCTTATAGACAAGTTGATGGGGTAGCCATGGAATCACCTTTGAGCCCTTTGCTAGCGGATATTTTCCTGGCAAAGCTTGAAAATGGTCAACTCAAAGACACGATTAAAGGGCTTGACTATTATTGTCGATACGTAGATGATACCTTTATCGTTTGTAATAGAAATCTTAATAAACAAGAGCTTCTGGATACCGTTAATAGTGTTCACCCAACTATTCAGTTTACATGTGAAGAAGAAGACAGTAACAATTTACCTTTCCTAGACATCCTACTTACCATGAAAACAGACGGATATCTACAAAGGAAATTATTTAGAAAGAAAACTTGGACGGGTCAGTACACTCATTTCCATAGTTTCACACCGATTCAGCACAAAAGAAACCTAGTTAAGTGTCTTAGCTACAGAATAAAACGAATATGCTCAGAGGAATGCATTAAGGAAGAAATGCTTAAACTAAAACTCACACTGCAAGAAAATGGATATCCACAGAGCTTCCTAAAAAAGTATATATCAATACCTACAGACAGGGTAAAGGTGGATACCGTAGATAAGAAACCTTTGTATCTTAAGTTAGGTTACAAAGGGGAAATTGCAGCTGACATTCTAAAATGTACACTCAATAGAGCAATAGATAGAACATTTCCTGCAGCTAAACTGGTACTAAACTTCTCAACTAAACCAGTACTCACACAGCAAGTCTAGGATAAATTACCAAAGATGGCCTCATCAATGTGCATCTATGAATTCAACTGCTCATGTGGAGCCAGTTACATTGGCCGTACTCAGAGGGCCTTATCCATGCGCGTGCGTGAACATGTCTGTCTGTCTGTCTGTTTTCGACATAGAACTTTGCGTGAACATGTACCTGTATGGTTGAGTAAAGGAGTAACCAAATGCGTAAATAGTGCAGTCTAAGCCCACTTGCTAGATACTGGACACCTGATAAAACTTGACCAGGCGTTCTCAGTTATTTATCGTGTTCCGAGTAATTTATCTAGAGGAGCTCGACTACGTCTTCTATCAGTAGCTGAAGCAGTTGCAATTAATACCAGAAGACCATCCCTCTGCATACAGAAGAAGTATGTTCAACCTCTATGTTTACCTTGGCCTACAATAAAGCCAACAAATCCTCCATTAACACTATAAATTCCTTGCACAATTTTCTATTCTTTTCTTTTCTTCTCCTTCTTCTATTCCTCTGTTTCATTGACAAACGTTCATTTTCGACTTTTATGATTTCATGACCTTTCTTATGATTTTATTACCTTAGGTTTAAATAGTGCTTTCCTAACTTGTTACCGTATTTACAAAATCCTGTTCATTCCACTTCATTATATTCATTATTATTATTATTATTATTATTATTTGACAATCATTCACCAATGGGACTTTTAATTTTAATTTTACACCATATCATCGTTATTATTTTACAATCATTCTTATTGTGTTGGTTTGTAGGGATTTGATTGGTTTCAGGATTTCATCATGAGCTGACATTAGTTAGAGAACCATTGGTAGGTGAGTACTGCTGAAGAGTCCCAAACTAGGATAAAACAGCAGTCAGGAACTCCCAGGTTTTCCAAAGGTTCTCTAACTGATGTCAGCTCATGATGAAATCCATTCTTATTGTTGTTATTTTCAACCTTGAACATAAGTCTAGACCGCCTCATTCGTTGGTTCACTTTCATATTGTCTCACCAGTCGGTGCGTACTCCCGATGATTCCCAAACTAGGATGAAACAGCAGCTGTCCAGTACTCCCTGGTTTTCAATGGTTCTCTAACTGATATCAATCCGTGATCAACCCGTAAAACATAACTAATCCTTACAAACCAAACTATAGAAAGTTAATCTGATGCTCGCTAGTGACTTGCTACAGGTTGGAGTTTCCTGAGTTCTAGTGAGAAGTCGTGACCAGTGAGGTCCAATTAGATGTCACGTGTGTGGATGGATGTCCCACCAACGACAATGGTTGGGGTCGTGCTAAATCACGAATTAGTAGAGGTTGGAATTCACGAGCCATTGAATCGGGTCCCAGTGGCTGAATGGTATACGAGCTGGCCTTGTAACCGGAACGTCCCGGGTTCGAATCCCAGTCGGTGCGTACTCCCGATGATTCCCAAACTAGGATGAAACAGCAGCTGTCCAGTACTCCCTGGTTTTCAATGGTTCTCTAACTGATATCAATCCGTGATCAACCCGTAAAACATAACTAATCCTTACAAACCAAACTATAGAAAGTTAATCTGATGCTCGCTAGTGACTTGCTACAGGTTGGAGTTTCCTGAGTTCTAGTGAGAAGTCGTGACCAGTGAGGTCCAATTAGATGTCACGTGTGTGGATGGATGTCCCACCAACGACAATGGTTGGGGTCGCGCTAAATCACGAATTAGTAGAGGTTGGAATTCACGAGCCATTGAATCGGGTCCCAGTGGCTGAATGGTATACGAGCTGGCCTTGTAACCGGAACGTCCCGGGTTCGAATCCCAGTCGGTGCGTACTCCCGATGATTCCCAAACTAGGATGAAACAGCAGCTGTCCAGTACTCCCTGGTTTTCAATGGTTCTCTAACTGATATCAATCCGTGATCAACCCGTAAAACATAACTAATCCTTACAAACCAAA